ACAGAAGTGTGCGAAGCGGAACGGAATTGGCGCGTTGTCGTGTTGCTGTTTCTATTTTCTTCAATAAATGAAGAAATTTCCTGGTCGTCTAGCTGTTTTTCTGCGTTCGATTCATGTAATAAACTTGGATCTATGTTTGCCAGCCATTCTGACTCTTCGTCATCGGAAGTATGGTTCAAATTTTCCACCATTTATTTTGGTAACTACAATCTAATTCTTCGCTTGCGCGATGCAAGAAAACCTGTTTAACCGGTACTTTAGAGCACAAATACCGCGTGATATTTGTACTCGTCTATGGCGTTATTTGTACTCTAGGAAGTGTAGATGGATAATAAATGCAAACGTGTCCGTTATTTGCGTCAAATTAAACCTACCTATTTAGTTATTTTGAGTTATGTTGTCCAACTGGACTCCATATACGCAGAAATAAATTGGGTTCCTATCGGTTGATGGCTAAAATTTAAGTTTGAACGCCATACACTACCCCTACTCTTCAAGAAAATGAATCGTTTTTACGAAGATCTATCTTGTCACTCACTGAGTCAGCCAACTGAAGGGAACTGAGCAAGTGCATCAGAATGCTAGCTCCCCTAATCTCTCTTGCGTTTCTATCTTCCTCGGTTGTGGATAATCTCTCCATATTACTATGTTATAAGATAATGAAGATACAGCGCATCATCTCATCGGTAAATTCTGCGTCCAAGCGAATGCTTTATCAGGTTATGGAGCCCGCATAGAACTAGTTATGTCATAAAAGCAATAGAGCGAGTTTTTTCTTAGAAGAGCCCGAAAAAATTGTGATCTACTACTTAATTATATGATAAGGTGAATTACACATGCATAGTAACTGATTCTTACTCATGATATATTGGAGGACAGACGAACAGATGACGTCATCATTTTGCTTTTTTTTCATCATACATAACAAATAAATCTCATGTTGCCGTGGGTCTGTACAGTTATAGACCACATGAGATGCTACCATGTGGTAAAACACCAGTGACAAACTCATGTGCCTTGTTTTGGTCCTTACCACATTTTGACGTCATCTGTGATCTATTACTGAACAGAAACACGGCAACACGAAACCTATTTGTTAAATATTTCATTTCAAACCTTACCTTTGTTGCATTCACAATAAGCTTTAGGTTCCCCTAGACAATATCCGTCATCTTTCCTGTCTGAAAGGTCAATACCCGTACATTTGTCTGCAGGAGTGCATGTTACATTTACAAGCATTTCCCCGCCTGCTCCATCACAGCAGACTCTTTCGCACTCTCCAGGTTTGGGCGTTTTTTTTATATCAACTCCTACATATGATCGAAAGGTAAGTATACCTTAGCATGTATATTTACTAGGTTCTCCATCAGTAGGAACAGCGAAAATGGAGGGCGAGATAAAAAATGGCTGTGTGAGGCTCATGTATATCTTATTAGGCCCC